TTGACATCAGCTTGAATGCGGGCACTCCTCCGGCAGTGAAGCCGGATGGTTCAGAGAGCGCGGGACTGGAATCCCACCCCTTAGAAAGAGATACATCAGCATGGGGAATGAACATATCGCCCAGCGAGCTAAGACGTACCTTGGGGTTGGTAGGCTGCTTGGACTTGCCAACAGCCTTTTTGATGACACGGTCGTCGGTCTCCAATAGATCGACAGCATGGGGTGCCTTCTTGAATGAACTGCTCGATGTCTTTGCCAGGCCTGGCACTGGGTCTTGCAGATCGGAATGGTCCTCCGGGAAGCCGGTGGAATGAACAGACGACCGACGGGATGTGCTCGATGGTACACCGTCCTCGGATGCTTCATCGTCAGGGACACTCACATGGCCAGAGTCGTACAATGAGGTACTGACACTGCGAGACTTGCGTCGCATCTTGGGCGGCGCATGCAGGACCGGGTCGTATTCCTCGTCGCCTGAGTCGTCATCAGGAAAAACTGAAATCACTTTCCCACAGTTTGAGTAATTTAAAGTTAGACCCGAATCTCAAAGAACGATCAGGACTTCTTTGTGATTACATGTACCCAAACTTCCAAAATCTCTGAAAGTTTGCTGAAGTTGTATCAACAACTAAGATCTCTTCCTTGTAAAAAAACAGAGGTTTGTATTACCAGATAGTCTGATAGGCATATAGACTAGCCCAATTATTTACAAAGAATGATGAGCATTTGTCCAATACATTGCTTGAGCACCAGTCTGGCGAAATATCTTCCCTACCAAACCTAGGTATCAGCTGACAAGTTTGCCTAATTTCCTTGAGGGACAGGATTGCGCCGGGTCTGGAACCATCCACTCTAGCAGGAGGTTTGTTGACTTCATACATCATATGATTCTTGCCCGCTGTTGACCTCAAAGGGCTGAACCACTCAACGTATAAAAGAGGTTCATTCCTCCATGGGGATAGGATATCTTGAGCGAAGGACTTTGGCAGACGAAATATGATCTTAACACGCCCTATTCGTGTTCCTAGTGCAATTGTTCAGCTAATATCTCAACACCTGATTATTTTATGTGCGTACCTTCCAATCCTGTGGACTCCGCATCTTCACTCACAATGGCTATGATAGTATCGAATCTAGCTTCCTTTGTACCTTCAGCAGGCAGAGCTTTCAGGATATCCCAGGGTGCTTCTTCATCATGTATGGATACTGGGCGTAACTTGAGATTATAGTAGACATCGATATGATTGAATGGGAGGATGGAGTTCTGAACGCCAGGTCTTCCATCCTGCTGAGGCAAAGTAGACTGACGTAGAAGATACCTCTTGAGCTCCTTGGTAAAGCCAGGTGCCGAGTGTCGAAGTTCGACCACTTGAAGAGCTTGACTTGCAGCAGCAGGGCGCTTAGCCATCTTCACTGCAAAGCTGGTCAAAGAAACTGAGCCTGCAACAGAAGATGGCCCAGATCTATTACGCCACTCCACGTAGCAGTCAAAAGATGTCATCTTCTCCTGGCGTTCAACCCAAGAGACCATCTGAGGGCGCTCATCACGGTGATTACTAGCCCTCCAGCCCTCCTTAGCAAAGTCAATGTGAAGGCGCTCAAACATCTCTGTATTGTAGTTATCAGTTGTTCCGAATAGGCGGATTGAATCAATGTAATGGAGAAGGGAGTGGAATTTAGGGATGTTGAAGTCGTCTCGAATACCCACTTCAATGAAGACGTGCTTATTGGAGTGGAATAAGTCCAGAGCCTCAGTTAGGTATGCCAGAGTATCATCGTCGTGAGTCTTATTTTGCGCCTGGTAGATGAAGTCCAGAAGAGCTCGTACAGCAAGAATAGCAGCTTCAGGAAGTTTTCCGACAAGGCAACCAAGGAGAACTTTCGCCATATTCTTCCTCTCGGTGCCAGAGATCTGAGACAGAGTTGAGATGCCGTTCTTGAAGATTCTAACGCCGCAGCCAGGAGGGAAGCTTCTTATTCGCCTGTCCAGCTCCTTCTCATCCATCATGGAAGTGCACCACTCTAGAATATGCTTGAAGACGCCCTGATAGAGCTGATGGAGGACATCCGGGGTGATGCAGATGTGAATATCACAGAAGGGGAAATCTTGCCAGAAAGGTTCCTGAATGGCGCCAGAGACATCATGGTTCATGCAGTACCTTGAATACTCTCTATCAGTGGTGGTTTCACTACGTGCTTCTGACATAATCCCAGTAGTCCATTCTTTTGTACGAAGAGGCGAAGTTTCAGGATCTCCTAGGTCCTGATTTCGACAGCGGCATTTAGGACAGGTCCCTGACTTCGAGCAAGTCACCAGGATCTGTTCAGGATAATCGGCAACGTAGCATGCAAGGATTGGATGAACCCTCCTAACCGCCCCATCTCCACAAATCATCTCCACTCCCTGCTGCCCAGCGTCTTTGAGAGGCTTCAAGATATGGCGCATGGACTCATGGAAAAGGCGTTGGGTTTTCTTCCTCTTCTCCTCCTTAGACAGCTTTGATGATATGATCTTGTCGGTGGAGAGATAGCCAAGAAGCATAGTCGCATGCTCAGAAGGACGACGCCTCAAGGATCTTGGTAAGTTGCCAATAGTCAGGTAGATAGGATACGCTTGCTTGCTTCCGGAGAATTGAGTAAGCTGTGTTTTATCCGTAGAGATGATGATCGGTGCAACTGTAGATCCAATGGGAAGACCAGCCTTGGAGAACGTCAGTAAACGTCTAACATCAACAGATATACAGAGATGCATACCTGAACAGCATGCCACCATTTCCCGGTCCACATCTCTGAATATGCCCGCTTTGATTTGGATGAGTTCGTATACACCTTCTTTGGTGCATACACCATAGAGGAAGCATGAGCGGGATTGGAGAGGAGGCTGCTAATCAGGGCGACTGGATCACGATATTGCACTAAGTGCTTCTGTCCAGGATCTCCAGCCAATGATATATTGGCTGACTTCCAAGGCGCACGAGGGGGGATAGAGTCAACAATCTTTCGTATGCCTCTTGTGTTATCGAACGACAGTCCCAAGCGTTCTTTGATCTGATAGGATTCAATCAAGGGGTGAAAGAGTCAGATATGCCAGCAGACATACCTCAGGAATGGCTAGAAAGCGATCAAAAGCCTTTTGCCCTGGTCCCTCCTCCACTGCCCAACGTGCCACTCTCCAGTCAACTTCAGAAGAGAACGGGAAAAAGGGATTGGTGTTGGGATTAGCACCATCTTCATGATCTGAGGCGTGCTCCTCCTCCATTACTTCATCTCCATCCTGATCCTTCTCGCGCTCACGGAAGATCTGCTTCCACTTGTCGTGAATGGTTGAATCCGTTCTCAAGATATGACCTCCTCTTGTATTCTCTTCAATCACTCGCTCCTCCTCTTCCTCATCTAGCCTGTGAGCAGAAGAACTAGGAGCAGAGGGATCTTCGAAGTCGCCAGGGGGGTTCGCAATGTTTTGGAACCAATCTTCCATATCCTGGTCATACCTGCCAGGGGAGTCAATATCACTCTCCGTCTCATTGTCTCCCTGTTCCTCAGGCTCAGGTAAGCTGGCATGTTCTTTGCCTTCCTCCGGAAAGATCAGTTCTTCTTCATCCGGAGCGCTGTTGGCCTCCGAGTCATCATCGATCTCATCACCAACATTCCAGTCAGCGTTGTCCTTATTCTTCCCTTTCCTGTACCAAGCACATTTCTGGGACATAGACAGGTGGGCATGCATTCCCTGGATGGTTCTGAAGTTCGTGTAGCAAGCAGGACATGTACGCGCAGTAATCCCAGCAAGAAAATCCATATTGGCAGGCAGAGCTCAGAAAATACAAGGTATATACCAGCTATAAGATGCAGGAGGACGCCAAGATAATATGTAGACTTGAGAGCTCAGAAAAATGACCAGTGATCAAGCCCAGGGATGCCTTAGAAATAAAGGACTTAGCAGCCAAAAGCGCGCCTGAGAGAGATTGCAGGCAGTCGCAGAGGCTCCCACGCCACACCTTAATCTGAGAGATTATCTCATGTCAAGTGCACCTCCAGGCATTCTGGTCTGCCTCTTCCCGCCAAATCAGCTCTAGCTAAGGGACATTCCCAAACCTCTGCTTACCGCCCTTGCCACCCTTGTTTGAAGCCTGATGTTTGCTTGCCAGCCTCGATTGTAAATCCCTCTGGACGCCCCCTATGGCCTTTGCAAACAAGAAAGCCCTCAAGTTGCACCTTGCGCTGAAAACTCTCATTGCAGGCATTCCTGGTCGCTTGATAAGGACTATTGTAGGGCTCTGTGTCAGAGTCATCCAGGACCTTGCAAGTTGACGTCTCCGCGCTGTCGTCACCCCTTGCACCTCGATACAGAACAGACCCTTCCCCTCCCCTGGCTCCGGCACGCGCCAGACAATGTATAAGAGCGACTTCTGCTGATCGAAGGACCGGTGGCTGCATTCTGAGGAGGACGTGGAGATTCTGGCAAGTGTCTTTCGTTTGAACTCAGCAAGGAATGCACTGATGGAGGTAGCACCGTGAAGATTACAGAGGCTCAGAAAACGCCGGTCAACTCGAGTTCGCTGTATATCACATATGTCATACGAGCAGGAGTGAGTCCTGTCATGAATACGTACGCCAAGGCCGTGAAGACAGGGCAAGCTGTTGATGCGCGGTTCATGTCCACAACTAGACTGGTAAGCTCAGTACCTTTCCCCCGAACTACAGTTGATTTAACATTCTACTAGCTTCAAGAGCTCGTGCAGTGGCTCCGCGTAGTTCTGCACGAGTACACGCAGTGTCTTAAGCTGCGCGCGTACCGCCACCAGAAGCATGTCCAGTACGAGATGTCGTAGGACGCGCTGGAGGAGCTGGAGAAGAGCGAGCGGGAGACGAGGAGACTCGAGGAGGCGCTGGACGGCGGGAGACTCAGATCGTCTGCTCCCTCGCAGATGCAAAGTGAGGGCGGCACGGCTGCATCAGCTACTTGGCTGCACTTTCGCTTCCATTCCCCATCTCTGGCTATGGCGACACCCAGGCATCCTATCCTCGGACCACATCTACCCCGGGTTTTCCCCACCGTCCAACCCTCTGGAACCCTGCACCTCTAGCAACAGAGGCACTATGATAACGTCTCAGACCAGGCTGACCCTTACCGTCGAAGAGACACTTATGCTTCGGACAGCAGCGACGCTGCGCTCAACGACGACGGATATTATGACCAGAATGGGAACTACGGGCGTTATGGTGGGTGACATGTTTTAGTGGCGGGACAGCCGCTCGACTTGACTTATTCATCGTTTATTGTAGGCAATCCTGACACCGACTCCGACGTGGATGTTTATGGCCAGAAATACGCCCCTTCGGCGGAATCGCTAGGCCCCCCGCGCATGGAATCCTCAACGCCCACTTTCGTTGACTATGGTGGTCCGCCCGGTTCTAGAGACCAATACCCTGCTTGGTCGTCGGAACGCAACATCCCTCTGTCCAAGGAGGAGAGACATTTTCCTCGACCTCACGCAGAAGTTTGGTTTCCAGCTCGATTCTATGAGAAACATGGTAAGTAGCACATGATCACTCGTTTCTTTGGCCGGCCTTCTAACGACGGAATACAGTTCGACTTCGTAATGCAGCTGCTCGACTCTAGAGCGTCGCGGATGTCACCGGATCAAGCACTACTAACATTACACGCTGACTACATCGGGGGACAACATGCTAACTACCGTAAATGGTACTTCGCGGCTCAGCTCGACTTGGACGACGCTGTGGGGCAGACGCAGAATCCGGGGCTTCAGCGACTGAAGTCCACAAAGCGCCGAGGTGGAAGGGGCGCAGAGAAGTCGCTCAGCTCTGCGATGGAGCGGCGGCGGCAGGCGATGAACAATATGAGCCAGTACGACCGCTTGCGACAAATCGCGCTTTACCTCCTGTGCTGGGGTGAGGCGGCGCAGGTACGATTCATGCCAGAATGTCTTTGCTTCATCTTCAAGTGCGCGGACGATTACTACCGGTCGCCGGAGTGCCAGAATCGTCTCGACCCCGTACCAGAGGGGTTGTACTTACGTGCCGTGGTCAAACCTTTGTACCGGTTCATCCGGGACCAAGGTTATGAAGTGGTGGATGGGAAGTTCGTGCGGAGGGAGCGGGATCATGACAAGATCATCGGGTATGACGATGTCAACCAGCTTTTCTGGTACCCGGAAGGGATTGCTAGGATCGTGCTACAGGATAAGGTACGTCTTCTCCGTCCGCCGTCTGTTGTGGTTATCCTAATCTCTGTTCCCAGACTCGTCTCGTCGACGTCCCCCCGGCACAGAGGTTCATGAAGTTCGATCGCATCGAGTGGAATCGAGTGTTCTTCAAGACCTACTATGAGAAGCGATCATTCGGTCACCTGCTCGTGAACTTCAACAGGATATGGGTTGTACACATCGCGATGTACTGGTTCTATACAGCTTACAATTCACCTATGGTATACGGCGGCGAATGGTCTGCGACTGCCCTCGGTGGCGCCGTTGCGACGACTATCATGATTCTAGCTACAATTGCGCAGTTCTCGTACATCCCCACCACCTGGAATAACACCTCCCATCTTACGCGTCGCCTCCTCTTCTTGTTCATTACCCTTGGTCTCACTGCTAGTCCTACCTTCTACGTCGCCATTGCAGTCGGGAACGGTAGGGGAGGGTCGCTCCCGCTGATCCTTGGTATCATCCAATTCTTCATCTCAGTGGTCGCGCCGCTGCTTTTCGCGGTCATGCCCTCCGGACGGATGTTCGGTGATCGCGTCGCGGGCAAGTCGAGGAAGTACCGTGCGAGCCAGACCTTCACGGCCAGCTACCCGGACCTCCATCTACAAGCTCGTGTGGCATCGATCGCCCTTTGGATCCTCATCTTCGGGTGCAAGTTCATTGAGTCGTATTTCTTCCTGACGACGTCGTTCAGTATTTCGATCTGCGTCATGGTCGGCATGAAGATCCAAGGCTGCAACGATCGCTACTTCGGCGATGGCTTGTGTCGCAACCAGGCGGCATTCACGCTCACTATCATGTACATCATGGACCTTGTCCTGTTCTTCCTCGACACTTTCCTGTGGTACATCATCTGGAACACCGTGTTCTCGATCGCGCGAAGTTTCATGCTAGGTCTCAGTATCTGGACGCCCTGGAAGGACATCTATACTCGACTGCCGAAGAGGATCTACGCGAAGCTATTGGCCACCGCGGACATGGAGGTTAAGTATAAGCCCAAGGTACGAATTCTTTAAGCTCGTTGTACGTATTCGCTGAAGAGCTATTTAGGTCCTCGTCTCGCAAATCTGGAACGCCATCATCATATCCATGTACCGCGAGCACTTGCTGTCTATCGACCACGTCCAGCGGCTGTTGTACCACCAAGTGGATGCGGGAGGAGACGGGCGCCGCAGTCTGCGCGCTCCGCCGTTCTTCATCTCCCAGAGCGACAAAGGCTTCAAAGGAGAATTCTTCCCCGGCGGGAGCGAGGCGGAGCGTCGTATATCGTTCTTCGCGCAATCCTTGACTGTCGCCCTCCCGGAGCCTGTTCCTGTCGACGCTATGCCCACGTTCACGGTCTTGACTCCCCATTACAGTGAAAAGGTACGGACGCTCTCAGAAGCGCTATTCCAGATAGCTGACCTCCACTTCTAGATTCTTCTGTCGCTTCGCGAGATCATCCGTGAGGAGGATCAAACTACCCGGGTCACGCTGCTGGAGTATCTGAAGCAGCTGCACCCTGTCGAGTGGGATAACTTCGTCAAGGATACCAAGATCTTGGCCGAGGAATCTGCGATGTACAACGGACCTAATCCGTTCGGCGCCGACGAGAAGGGCCAGTCTAAGACCGACGATCTTCCCTTCTACTGCATCGGTTTCAAGAGTGCCGCTCCCGAATTTACCCTGCGAACACGTATCTGGGCCTCTCTACGCGCTCAGACCCTCTATCGGACTGTGTCGGGCATGATGAACTATTCCAAAGCCATCAAGCTCCTGTATCGCGTCGAGAATCCTGAGGTCGTCCAGCTGTACGGCGGTAACACCGACAAACTCGAGCGAGAGCTAGAACGTATGGCTCGTCGGAAGTTCAAGTTTGTCGTGTCGATGCAACGGTACTCGAAGTTCAACAAGGAGGAGCAAGAGAATGCGGAATTCCTGCTGCGTGCCTACCCGGATCTTCAGATTGCCTACCTGGACGAGGAGCCCCCGAGGAAGGAAGGCGGCGACCCGCGCTTGTTCTCGGCGTTGATCGATGGTCACTCCGACTTCGTTCCCGAGACTGGCCGGCGTCGACCCAAATTCCGGATCGAACTACCTGGTAACCCTATCTTGGGCGACGGCAAATCTGACAACCAGAATCACGCCATTATCTTCTACCGCGGAGAATATCTGCAGCTTATCGACGCCAACCAGGACAACTACCTCGAGGAATGTCTCAAGATCCGGAACGTCCTTGGCGAATTCGAGGAGTACTCCGTCTCGACGCAGAGCCCGTACGCCACTTGGGGTCAAAAGGAGTTCAGGAGGCCTCCCGTCGCCATTGTTGGTGCGCGCGAGTACATTTTCTCGGAGAACATCGGTATTCTGGGTGACATCGCCGCTGGAAAGGAACAGACATTCGGTACCTTGGCGGCTCGCTCCTTAGCTTGGATCGGTGGGAAGCTTCACTATGGTCACCCTGATTTCTTGAAGGTGTCTCCAAGGCGCAAAAGGGTCTGCAATGACTGCCTTTGGTCGCGGTGGCCGCATCAAGCACACCGAGTATTACCAGTGCGGTAAAGGACGTGATCTCGGTTTCGGCACCATCTTGAACTTCCAGACGAAGATCGGTACCGGTATGGGCGAGCAGATGCTCAATCGAGAGTACTATTACTTGGGTACCCATCTCCCCATGGACCGATTCCTTACGTTCTACTACGGTCATCCCGGTTTCCATATTAACAACATGCTAGTTATCCTTTCAATGCAGCTCTCATTGCTCACTTCCTGGGTAACGTTGGTACCATTGGCTCATTCGAGTCTTGGTACGTCTCATACTTCCATTGATTACTTAGTCTTGTATTGACGCCTTGATCCAGTGGTTCCTCGAATTACGGAATGCTCCGCATGCAGTCTTAGGTCTTATCGCGACGATTGCCATACAACGCGCTGTCCAACGACTCCCCTTGCAAGTCAAAAGGTACGTTCATTTCAATCGACTGTTACTGCGACTGCATGCTGACATTGTATCGCGTTTAGATAGGGGGATGATTATGCGCGGCGAGCAATGTCACCCCGCCTGCCACCGTGTCCGCCCATGCGGACCTCCGCTGCGAGCAGTCGGCCGCAGGCCGACGCTCTTGATCTTCAAGTACAGTGTTTCGGTGAGTGTATCGAAGCTTTTAGTTGCTCGCGCTCCCGACTAACGTCTTCTTGTCGTTACAGGGACTTAGTTGTACGACAGGTCTTTGGTGTGGCCAGCGAGTGGGAGGAGTCGGCCGAAGGCCGATGTCATAAGATCGAAGTTCAAAGTTCAGGTATTTGTATTGTAATCGACTATATATTTGAGAGTGTACTGACATTGTACGGCTCGTAGACGGCGGTACAACCGTATACCGCGGTCAAGCTCGCCCCGCTGCCATCGGGTCCGCTGACGCGGACCTCCGCTGGGCGCATTCGGCCGCAGGCCGACGCTCTGACTTACAAATTTGATGGTACGTGTATTGTATCAGATTCTCTGCATAATCATATATTGACGTCAATTCTTCTCAGGTCACGATTTGTGGACGCCCTTGTCGGATGACGTTGGATGCGCTGCCTTGGCTGCGCAGCTCGAGTAGTGGGCGGAAGGCCCACGTCGTAACCAACAGTCGGCCAGGTACGTGTACTGTATTTGTTTAGAGATCTGATCGTGTACTGACCTGCTACGGCTTTTGGATAGGGAGACGAATGCCTACCTGCAATGGGACTCGCCTTCGTGTCTGCTTACGTGGTCCCCCGCTGCGATGAGTCGGCCGCAGGCTGACAAGTGTCGTTTCTTACAAGATAAAAGGTACGTCTTGTCCTAGTGTGCGCTCAAGGAGGAGGAGGAGGACCAGCTGCGGGTGGAGGAGGATGACAGGGAGCGCCAGTGGCAGCGGGAGGAGCTGGGGCCGCGACAGTCAGGCATCGAGAGGACCTCTAACGTTGAGAGGAGTTCAGGCGGCCGGAGGAGCTCAGATGTCTACGGACAAGAGCTGTCAAGATTTGCTGATTCTTGGTATAAACAGTAGTATATATGTAATCAAGATACATGGGCTGGAACCAATTCATGCGACGTAGGCAGATAACAAAACATACAGCTACTTCTCGTTCCCTTTTCCCTTCCCCGTGAACTCATCGCCCTGGGGATATTTATTGTGCATATCCTGGAAAGAACGATCAAAGGCGGAGTAGTTCGAATAACTTGAGTTTGGCAGGGAGGTAGGCGACGAGGGATGGCTGACGAGAGACTGGACTGGGAGAGGAGGGAGGCGTCGAATCACACGTACTGGTGCTGAGTACGTAGGAGACACCGTGATCTGCTCTTCTGGGCTGGATGAACCCACGGACGTTGAGTCATCAGTCAAGGCATATTCATCGTCTTCAGGTTCCTTTCTAGTAAGTATGATGGCCTGAAAGGAATGAGCTGGAGTTGCAGAGAGATGAATGGAACGTACAATATATCCCTTGTCCATCATCAAGTCTCGAGGGATCTGAATGTCGAAATCAATTCTTGACATGTCAATGTTCTGTAGGCGTTTCTGAATGAGTGTTCAATGAGCCTGACAAGGAGCTTACCCATCTCATAATTGCCTTATCATCAGCAATGACAGAGACCATGTAAGCAGAGGACGAGGACATAACTTGTTCTGGAGGGTAAGGAAAGAGCGTGCTGGCGCCTCTTGCACCTGTGGCGCTCTCCTGCATTCCCCTTAACCGAGACCGTGGAAAGCTTTGCGAGTAGTCGCAAACTCTCCCAGGGGCTTGCCTTTCCACTTCACTCACTTGGGGCTGGCCAGGGATGGCGTCCAACCAGGATCCTATAAATCAAGTCTACCTTACCTTGACGCCAACTGAGGCTACTGAGCTGCAGAAGCTCCTGGGGCGTTCTCTCAGTCGAAAGTCTAATAGTACCTTGGGTGGCGTATTTGAGAGGCTGCAGGCGTACGGAACTGGAATGGCTTCCAAAGGTATGTGGTGTTCCTCTGGCTAGGAGAAGTGAGGCTTATATTCTCAATAGCTCTGACAAGTGGGCGCCATGCCAGGGAACGGTCCCGTTCCGGGAAGGGCAAGCCGTATGAACGCCAAAACCCTCCAGGAGGTGCTGGCGCTGGACAGCAGGGTGGTGCGCATATTAATTGGGACTGTGCTAGGGGCACAGTGAACTTCCTAGCCCAACGTTGGCAGCAAGTTAACGTGGCCGTTGGTATACACTCGGACTCTGGGCCGTTCTTTGGGCGTTTGGCTTCCTTCATTCGTTCTGAGTGCTCTCGTAACAGCTTCCCTTCTGCTGTACACTCTGTCCTGTACAACTCATCTGGGGCCAGTGCTTTGGCGTATCCAAAGGAGGAGTCTCTAAGTGGTCTGGTTCGCCGTGTCCAGTTGTCTGAAGTGAAGAGTGCTAGGGCTAGTTTTGCGGTCTTAATAGACCAACTGAGGCTGGCAGCTCTCATCGAAACGTAAGTAATTGCAGACTCAAAATGTCTTGTCTGTTTTAATTCTTTAATTCAGTCTGGGAAACATCGGCGATGTCTATGATAAAGAAGTCTCCCAATGGCCTGATGCTCCGTCATCAAGGACATTTTACGATTGGGTTGCGGAGGGTTACAGGGTGGCAGCATTAGCTGCTGGAGGTAAGGCTTTAATCAGCTGAACGCCTACCGGAGGATCTAATTGTTATTCTAGGATCTATTTACTTAATCTTATTGGTTAGCTTGGGCGGTATGAAGTCTATGATAAGTGCTATGGCTGGCGATGTAGCCCATGCTATAGGGAACACTCTTCGTGCTCCAGAGGCTGGCTCTGCAATAGGAGACATAATACGCACCACTCTTGTTCCGATAGTTCAAGCTCTACGCTTCATTGCTCCATTTGATCTTTCAGCATTACTTCCTACGCCTTTCTTACTCAAGAAGGGTTTGCCTGGTGGAGTTGACGCCGGGGACATCAGGGCCAGTGACTGTTTCATGGACAGCTTCCAGCTAACGTGTGTCAATTTTACACTTTTTCATTATAAACACATCTAATATCGCATTCCAAAGGCACTTTAAGCTGGTGGAAAGAGACCAGGAGGTGTGGCGCCAGATATTACTTGTGCCTCATCGTTCGTACCGTGAACACATAGCGCCAAATTTGTGTGCGAACCTAGCTCTGAGGGCTAGTGACCCCCTTTTTTTGTTGTCTTCTACGTCTTCTCCTTGTCCTTCTCCACAAATGTCAAGCCTCTTATTTGTAAGTTGTTTTCTCTGTGACTGTAAGTAAATCTAACGTAGTTTAGGATGGAACTGTTTCAACACCAACATCTCCAGCAACTACGCCAACTACGCCAACTACGCCAACATCGCCAACTTCTTTGCAGTCTCATACACCATCTCCTTCTCCTTCATCAACACGCCCTTCATCACCTTTGCTCTGGCCATCAACTCTGCTAGGGCCACTGCCGGAGCAGGCAGATATTCATTCAATTACGATTGTGACCTCCTACGTTCCAAGTCACCCAGATCACCAAAAATGCCCGGTGGAAAGAGCGACTACTACAGATTGGACGGATCGCCAAAGAGAGCTAGCAAAGGAAGCTCTTCTCAATCCTCCATCTACATTTGAGGGCTTCTGTGAAGAGGTGAGCACATTCATATTATTAATTGAGTTCTCTTACTGATACTCTTATCCCCTTCACCAAGTTATCAACGCTTTATGAAGGCGGTACAAAAATTGACAAGGACAAGTATCTCTACGTCCCCAGGAACCAGCTTCCTATGTAAGCTCTCATAGATCTCCGCAATACATAACCTGCTGATAAGTAACTTAGGGGTGCCAATGCTGTACGTTTGGAAAGTCTAAGTGGAGACCTGGAGGCGTTGTTGTGCACTGCTATGCCTGAATCCCTGAGGCAGGCGCTCAACAATGGGATTGCCGCTGCTCTGGGCAGTAGTGGTGTACTCAAGGAACGTGACTGGGAAGAGGACGGTTTATTCGAAGCGCTTCATTTTGCCTGGTATAACCGCTACAGTACCAAGGTGAGTAACGTTTGCTGTTTCTTTAAGTCTAGTTCTAAGTACCATCTAGGGGAATACGTCGGCAAACAATGTCCATCCTTGCCTGTCCAAGAGAGAAGGGATTGAAAGAACCAATCACTTCCAGTTCACTCCAAGGACTTCCACCGAAGCCAGAAAGTTTCCAAATATATATGAGAACTTGGTGAGCGCTCTATGTGATGTATTCGCCTGGGTTGAGGGCACTGTGAGTGACCAGCACAACGTTTTGTAATATATAATTAACTCCTTATGATTTGATCAGATTCGCAAACTTGTTGGGCGTGATATTGAGATTCAGATGGAAGTCTCCAACTCTCTCCCTCTGAACTCCAGGGTTCCACTCTTCCCTTTCACAGGGCTGGTCTTCAACTTCAATGCTGCGTCCAAGGCTCACAGGGACAAGAATGACCTTGGCTTTTGCCTGGTTCTCCCCTTTGGCGATTATAAGGGTGGCCATCTCTGCCTCCAGGAGCAGGGCTGGGTTATAGACCTTCAACCAGGGGATTTTTTAATCTTCCGTTCATCTGGAACTACTCACTTCAATCTGCGCTACAAGGGCATTCGAGGATCAATAGTCGGCCACACAGATAAGGAGTTTCTGAGCTGGTTAGGTGACTTCAACGGCTGGAAGGACAATATTTACCTTTCAGCTAAGCGTAGGGAAGGGTTTGATGAAGGGCAAATTGTTGGTGAAGGCGAGGACATTTTGCGCCATTTTTAATTGATGCTTTAATCGTATTTTACTATATTATATCAGAGCTTATTATATATTGGACGGCGAACTGGTCCAGCGCTTATTTCGTACAGTGAATTAAGTTTTCCTTCTTGCCTCCCTCTCTCTTCGTACGCTCTTGATCTCTTGTTTTACTGGGACGCCCTCTGTAGTGCATTTCTTGTGCAACTAAGGTGAGCTTATGTTTCTGAAATGCTCGGTTTATTACTTATAACGCATCAAGATATGGTTCGAACTCGTGCTATGCCTGTGGAGGATGACGTGCCTGACGAGTCTGAAGAGCAAGAGACTTTCAGCGTCGCCTCTGTAAAGTCTAAGAGGGGGACCCCCAAGGCAACTAAGAAGGGTGCAAATCAACCTGCAGCGCCGAAGACACCCAAGACGCTGAAGACACGTAAGGCACCCAAGGCTACGACAACCAAGGCACCTTCCAATCAGTCGACCTCTAGAGAGGCATCTCCGTCCTCTGCACTAACCCCCGCTGAGTTGCGCGTGCTTGCCAAAATTGAGAAGAAGTTGCCCGGCGTACTGTCTTCTGCTCTGAAAGGGCCAAAGCCAACTGGACCTGATGAAAAGCTGGCTGGTACGTATTTCAGCCTGTCCCCCTTTACTAATCATCTGATTGGCTTCTCCTCGTTCTCATTGTAGCTATTCGTAAGCGTTCCTCTGCCTTGCTTAACCAGGAGGATGAGGAATGTGACACCGACAATGAAGAGCCAAGACGAAACAAGAAGAAGGCTCGCCATCAAAAGGAGATGCAGCTGGATGATGAAGAGCAGGAGCTGTCTGGCCTACTGGGAACTAAAGGTACGTACTATCTCTTCTTGCATTCTGAGCTTTCATTCATTTCTACGATATAGACCACGTAAATGAGGATGAGGAAGATGTTGGCGAAGGTGAAGAAGTTGGTGATGAGGACAGGGAGTCCAGGGAGGGTGATGTGGATGGTGAGAGTGAGGGGGCCGACAATGGTGAGGACGGTGGAGATGAGGACACTGATCTCCCTGATCATTTGAGGGAGGCAGAGGTACGTTGCACCACACCTAGTGAGCATTGCTAACCGCCATAAAGTTTCTGGTAGAGGAGACTACGACTGCATCTCAGAAACGAAGAGAAGGGAGGAAGCACGCCGTGACCCTGGGTTCTATATCAGATCCCTCTCTCAGAGACCTGGCTGATCGTGGCAACAAGGTGCTTCAGAGTCTTATTGCGACTGAAGATGCTTTCCCTGCAGATCGCCAGAAATTTACAGAGAAGGCGATAGCTGAGGCAGCATCCGTCTCTCGGGAGCTCAACGACGTATGGAAGGAGCTTAGAGTAAACAAGAACCTCCAGGCTAAGAAGAAGCACGTCTGCGACTACGTATGTCTGATATTTACTAGTACAGATGAGTCAACTGCACATTAACGTTCTCTCCAGGTCTGGAAGGGTGCAGCTACCATCAGAGGTGTTGTAAGAGACAAGGCAGCTGGCCAAGTTGGCGGAATGTATTTGGTTCCAGGAGGTCTTCCCAAGGACAAGCTCCAAGAGCGCGTAACTTGGCTAACCCAGGAGAAGAAATACCGCTTTGGGTATGGCGACTTGGATGTTGAGGCAAGTTATCTTTATGTTCGTGAATATTACCTATTAAAACCTCCAATTTAGAAGGGCACTCTTGACCTCAACAAGCCCCTTTCTAATCACGCCCTGGAGACTGTTATCAGAGAGGTCTGGTTCTATTCATCAAAGGCGGATGGAGTGAAGTTTTCCGAACGTTTCAAGAATATACCAGTGGCTGTCTGGGCATTGGCAATGACGGCGGTGAGTCTTGGACTATTATTATAGACCTGGCGTGTTCTCAATGCTGGATGTAGATTGAGGCTGCCATCAATGATTGGTCCGAGGGCAAACACGTCAAGAAGAAGTTTGCCGAGGAAAACTGGACTAAGAGGTAACTGATAGTAAATTGTATGCAATGCTCCTCACACGTGTTTTAGCTACAAGAGTAATCTCCGCCACGTCAACAGTATTGCTAACAAGGCGCCCACCTGGTTTGACATGTTCTCAAAGGGAGCATATGAGAGCATCTGGTAACGTCTCCCCTTCACTGATGGGGTCATATACTAATCGGTGGCTTTTAGCAAGAACAGCGACCTTGACATGGATTTTGATGAGGACGCCGATGAAATTGATGCTTTGGTTGACTTTGACGCTCTGGAATCCTTGGCTAAGGCTGGTGCTGGTGTTGCTGCTCCATCTACATTGGCTGGCCCAGGTGCTGTAGAGAGCGGTTGATCTTGTGTTGTTACTAGGCATTTCCCTCATCTTTTTCTGATAAATTGCTTGTGCTACATTGCTTCCAATTTCTTCATGTGTTATCTGTGTTATTGTTGTTCGCAGCTAGCATAGTTCTGAGCATTCTAATACCAGCTGATTTCATGATATCAATTTTCTTTCCTGAATTAACCAATGCAAGCAAACAACACTAAGTAGCTGAAAGACTCCAAAGTGAGGAAAGAACTGAAAGACATGAAATCATTGAAACAACAGAGGTCAGTGCATCACCTGAAAGAAGCTAATGGGACTCAAAGTACAGCTCTCTTTCATCAACCTTTCAGTACTTTACTAGACCTTGGAGTACTCTAAAGTACCGCCAAAAATTCTTGAGTACTTTAAAGTAGGGGGGTTGTCTCAGGACCCTTTAGGTAGTTTCCACACTTAGAGTGGTTTAAAGTAACTTAATTACTTCAAAGTGATATCACTTTTTCCTGATGGTAATGATGTCCTTGAAACAGGGGAGCCTTGATGGAACAGCGCTGAGTACAAATATCGATGAGGGAAGGAAGACCATCACCTCAGACTGCAAGGCCTCAGCCAGAGAACGAGGAGCCATCTGCATGAGCTGCTCATCATCAGATTCCTCTGCTTCCGCCTCGCGCTGGCCTTCCGCGTCATCGTCGGCGTCCACGTCATCGACATCCGATGGCACGCTCGAGTCGTCTGAATCTGATGCAATGACAGCGGGTTTGTAAACTGGTCATCGCCGTCAGTACACAGTCAGTGTGCAGACAGCATGGAGGAGGGAACGCGGCTCACGGCGACCCTTTGCTGCCGGTGTATCGGCCAACGTCTTATAATTGTCCACGGAGGCAGAATCTGATGAATAGGTAAGACAAGGAGGACATGGTTGGACGATAAATTTATCGCTTACCGTTCTTGGTCTTTTTATTTTTGTTTGTGTTCGTGGGCGCCATCACAGAGCCCGCACGCTTCCGCGTCGCTCCCTGAGATTGCATCCACACTACCATGACACCAGGTGATTCATCACTCGACGATAACGAGTGAATAACAGTACGTACCGCGGTTCTCAACAGCCTTCACTTTGGCGTCTCGAGCAGCTGTTCGCACACAGTGAGTCTGTTACATTACCGGAACAGCGCATTGTGTGCTTACTCGTAGGTTTAGCTGTAATTTTTGCATCTTGTTCGTCTCGAA